TGGAACCTACCAGGTACCCACTTGTACTCCTGGGTGGAGAGAGGCAACCGTAGATAAAGTGCCTTGCCCAAGGACACAAGCGATTTGCACAGTGAGAGTTTCGAACCCCCGACCTCGAGGTCCAAGCCACAACCGATGCGCCAACCGCTTTGGTTGTATACATTAGTTACAACCAGTTTTAAACAAATTTATGCTGGATTTAACACTGCATTTTTCATTTCATATCTAACATTTTGTAGTGCTGTTAATTGTATATTTTCATTCTTTGCTGTTAGTTTCAATTGAAGAAAAATAAAGACATATATTTTATATACAGTACAGTATTGTTTATATTTTTATTGAAGTATTTCCCTTGTAATGCTGTTAATTTTAATCATATTTGATTTTTTAAGTTACACAGTTTCTGGCTCTTATACACATCTAGATGTGTATAAGAGACAGATATCTCAGGAGACCAAGCGGAGATCCAAATTCTGATGTCATAAATCACCGGATGCAACCAAAATTAAAAGAGAAAGAACGACTAGTGAAGTTGCTTGAGCAGTGTGAGGTGGAAAACAAAAGATTACAAGAAGCTTTGAAACCCAGGAAAAGGCAGCTTGCAGATACTCAGCAGAAACTAAACAAGAGATTCATGGCATTTGAAGATGTAAGATATTCTAATTCACTTTGAAATATTTGTATTATGAGCATACCTACACCAACAGTAATAACAAAAACAGCATACTAGAATGTTAAAAGAGATGTCTACCAGTTTTATATAACTTGAAAACTGATTTAGCATACTCAGTTACATAATATCTCATTTTGAAATTATGAAACTTGTTCGCTCTAATTACCTAGACGCTCTAAATTATATTTGTGATGATGTGTCAGGTGCATCGTTTTATCTAAGCTCAGGGACAGGCCATTGTAATGCATAGGATTACGATGATTCTAGGCGAGTTCTTTGTATTATTACTATCCTTGTATTGGTATAAAATATTATCAAATGGCCCAGGTAGTCAAAGATGCATTACAATGGCCTGTCTGTAAACTTGTATGGAGCAATGCACCTGGCACATCATCACAAATTTAGTTTAGATCGTCTACGTAATGAATGCTCACGAGATCCATAATTTCAAAATGGGATATTATGTACCTGATTATGTTAAATCAGTTCTCATAATGTATAAAATTTGTAAAATTCTCCTTTAAGATTTAGAAGACTGCAAAGTGTCTTCCTTCAAGATGGCTGTTAAAACCAGCACCAATAGATTTCAATAATCAATCATTGTATTTCTAATACAACTTAGAAGAGAGTAATAACCTATGATGATAATAGATTATGATTAAATATGTAGTAAACATACTTATAATTTTCCCTTCAATGGTCACATTATTAGATATTAAATTTCTTACGCTTTTCAACTCCTCATCTTTCTTATGTATTCCAATGTCTTTTTGGTCAAAGTACCAGACGAGTGCTTTCTGGAGTAGTCAATTGGAAATGGAGCAAAGTATAATAAAAACAACGCAAAAATAATATATTTATATATAGGTTTTAGAATAATCAATATGTTTATACCACAGTTGTTAACCCTAATTATTTGTTTGTAGGCTGCAAAGGCTTGTGATAAAATCCCAATGAAAGAAATACAACAGAGCGTGAACCATCTGTCACAGATATGAAATGGTATCATACAGAAGTATAGTTTAAACAGTCGTGGCTCTTCTAAGATACTTGAAAGAAGAAAACAATGAGGGTGGTTACTGATGGAGCAAGATATTTTTTTTCCAACCAACAAGAACTCCTGAGCCTGAGGATGTTTATATTTTAAGACTATTGGCTGGATGCGCTGTCAAAGAGGATTGTCTTCTCTGTGGAAAAATTCAAAACCATGAAATTCAAATAAAACACACTGCAATTTGCAAGTATTAAAATAAGTTGTCCACTCATAATGAGATCAGATCAAAGCATTGATGACTCCAGAAATTTGCCGACGAGGCGTCTGACGGAGGTTCTAAGCAAGAGGTCTACTAGAGCCCCGATCAGGGTCCCAGAGTAGAAATTTCTGGTAAATTTAATGGGGAGAGTGTTTATGGCTTAGTACGACCCACAATTGTGCTTTTTAGACCACAATAACAGGGATTTGCAATCAAAATAACGTTTTGGATAGGCAGATTTATATCTTTGGAGAAAATTCCTCCCCCCCCCCCCCAGTACTACCTGGATCAAAGCATATTTAAAGAATCTACACAAGGAATATTGAATTTATTTTATGCATTTGCAAAAAAAAAAAAATTTTATCATTCATTCTAATTTTAAATTAAAAGCAAATAACTATTCCTAAATATATAAAAAAGAGCAATTTAGATTATGTAATTTGATTGTTCAAAGATTTTTTTTTTAGCTCACCTCTTACAGAATTTGTATAGTAGGGAGATTTCGATTGCACGACGACGGTAGAACGTACAACGAAATGACATCACTTAAAGTCATCTGCGCATACGAGGACGTCAAGGTCACCTCATCGAGTAGATTCTGGAACACAATTTGGCCAAATCTAGTTATGCAGAGAACGTAGGACGCCAGGCAGGACGGTCACGCATGAGTGATTCCGTTCTGTCGTCGCACAAATCGAAAGCTTCCTAATATCTTTATTATACAAGGAGACTTTATTCATCCCACTATGGGAACATTTCTTTGGTTAATAAAACAGTGTGAATATAACATATAACAAGGCTATCTATCCAGGGTTTTTTTTTTATGTTAGTGAGGGCGCCCTCCAATGCTAGCATTAAAGCCCTGTTCAGACTATCACATTTTATTTTAAAAAAAACATGTGACATGCCTAAATATGGTCATGATGACATCATGTCATGACCATATATAGGCACATCGTGACTATATTTGGGCATACGACATTTTTTTGTCAAAGAAAATTTTATAATCTTTTAGTTTTAGAATAGGCAAATTCAACTTACAGCCTGTAGAATACCCATGTTCATAAACACCAAAATGGAAAGAATATACCTGTAGTGATAAAAATATAATTGGATTTATCAAAATCAAGCCTTAATTGCTTACTAGAGTCTTTTTAACCAATGAAAATGAATTGCAGTTTTAAATTGTGTTTTCAGTCATACAAATTATAGTCTCTATTTTGTGTAAATAATATGTAAATGTAGGTTAATGATTTGGAGAAATATTAATTTATGTTGAATTGGGCATGAGATGATCCCATGCTTTTTTTTCCCAAAATGTTGGAATTTTTTTTAAAGCAACACATATGACCAATGTTGTACTAGGAACCAACAGCTAGAATATCTATTCCAAAAAACGATAAATACAACCAGGTATAATAATAATAATATGTCGTTCTTATATAGCGCTTAATGCCTTAACAAAGCCTCTAAGCACTTCACATTACTACCCCGGTCATTGGATAAAACACATATGGAACACATTGAACACCAAATCAAATTATTAAGTTAAATTATATTATTATTCCATATTGCGGCTAGTAATCAGCACAGTTGTGTTGGAACCTACCAGGTACCCACTTGTATTCCTGGGTGGAGAGAGGCAACCGTAGATAAAGTGCCTTGCCCAAGGACACAAGCGATTTGCACAGTGAGAGTTTCGAACCCCCGACCTCGAGGTTGGGAGTCCAAGCCACAACCGATGCGCCAACCACTTCAGTTGTATACATTAGTTACAACCAGTTTTAAACAAATTTATGCTGGATTTAACACTGCATTTTTCATTTCATATCTAACATTTTGTAGTGCTGTTAATTGTATATTTTCATTCTTTGCTGTTAGTTTCAATTGAAGAAAAATAAAGACATATATTTTATATACAGTACAGTATTGTTTATATTTTTATTGAAGTATTTCCCTTGTAATGCTGTTAATTTTAATCATATTTGATTTTTTAAGTTACACAGTTTCTTTCATAATTCCAGTATTGAATAGCTTCATTCAAATTAATTTCAATATCATAACTTAACTACATTTTTGATAAAAACACAATATGCTCTTCCTATGCTTATCCCATGAATGTCAGTTTGACAAGGAGGTATAAAACTGCCAACCTAATAAAAGCAGTCACAAATGCATTGCATTCAAAAGTTACTTTTTATTCTTAAATTCTACAAAAATTATTTGCATTTTACGGTATTTCGCAAACGTCCTCTTAATTGAAACGGTTCATCGACAATTCATGGACCTGCTGCGTCCTTATCACAATTTTCGACACGATAATATACAGCGCGCCGTCTATAGTTTCCCTCGGGAGTAAATGCAGGTGATAAGGTCTATAGCAACGGTATACAACAGTGGATATAAAGTGTTCGGTTGTGTCAATAGTGTTTGTATTGATGACAGTCATGGAGTGTCGATCCTTTCAGTTTGGTTGTTTTATAAATAGCATTTAAGCCGTATTTAAAGACTTCTAAAACCTTTCGACCTCAGAAAGACATTTAGGGGCGTTAGTAGCCTGCTGTATACGTACCTACCTAGACGTGAGTAGACCTAAAGAACTTATCATAATTAAGCCTACCATTCAATGAGCTTAGATTGAGGTAAAAGTAATAATATTTATTTCCTAACCGAGAGTGCACTAGATATAGAATAAAAAAATCTATTATTTAATTATTTCCATTTATCCACCGTGAACCACATGATTTTTTTTTTTTGTGAAAATCCTCTTTTGCCTCCGTTAAATTCTCACCTGCCACATAGGATTTTTTAAATTTTTGCCTGTTGCTGAAAATACCTCAATCTAAACTATTATGTAATACTGTATTCATTATTCAACAGACTACATGTAGCATATTTCTCCAGCTTACGTAGTTTTTAACTTTATAGATATTGTATATAATAGTGAATAACTGGTTGAAAATATGTTTTAAAAACTGTTTTTCCTTTTGCCTTTAGTTTTATTGCATTAAATTTATATATAAAGACGAGATGACTATTAATTATATCACTCGGTGGCACAACAAATAACCATGTCAAATAAGTCCTCTTTGAGTAAGACTATCTACATAAGGGGTGTAGAAATTAGCGAGAAAAGTCGTTTGTGTTTTGTCTTCCAAAGTCTTCCTAAAATTACAACCAAATACACTTTACCAACACTTACTTCATGGGCAAATTCAATGGAATGACCACCCTAAACTTGGTGTAAAATGCATTGCCGCCCAATGAAAAGCTTTTATTTTAAATGTTTTTTTATGGAATTTCTTTTCACAAAAAGTAATAATATTATGAACATGTATTGCCTAATCAGCCTCACAAAATTGCGTTCATAAGAAAATTTATGTATAGGGAAGAAAATGCATAGAAATTCGAAATGCATAATAATAAAGTTAAAACAAAATCAACGACGGCTTTTGAGACAGCAATTACCACATCAACCCACATTTGATGTTTTAGCGTCGCGACCCATTCTACAGTACAACTAAATTCATGTTTAAGACGCTTCAATATGAATAAAGTTGTTCATATATTATTTTTTTAATGTACACACTGAACCTATCTCCGGTCAGTATCACTCGATTATCAGAGTAGATTAAATAGGCAGATATTTATTTTAGAATAGGAATATGGATCGTTTGAGTTGAGTGCCTGTCTGAGCTTGTGATACTACAATATGCCAATTCTTCGTACACGCTTTGTTTGCTAAGTTTGATGCTTAGTGATTATCATTCGAAAATCGAATGCATCGAAGTAACATTATTCAAACACTAAGCTAACATTGGTATAACGCGTCTGTGTTCGTTTGACCAATCTGGAGATTATTGCAGACTATATCCGTAAATATCCATATCATACATTTCATTTTCCCACCAAAGTGATTTTGGAGGTAACAATTTTGTAATTAGCTTACAGATGAACATAACAGAACACTACAGCAACAACTTAATGGCTTATTGATCGGAATGCCGGCGGCTTTAATATCTAGTCTTCGATTTCGGATTGGAAAACCATGAATTGCTATTGATACCGGGCTAACCTCCACGAAAACAACACACCCTTTGCCCCGAGAACAATCTGTATTACAGGTATAAACAATGGGCCTACTCTCTGTTAGAGCTAAAAAAAAAAAGAATAACTTTTATAACAAAATTAAATCAACACTTGAAACTATAATGGGACATACGAACTTACTTCCATATTATTTTCATATAGGCCTACCCTAAGAGGCTGATAGTTCATAACTTATTATTAGGCCTGTATGCAATTCCTAATGAGATATGGAATACTTTAATTAATTTTACAATATTATATTTTCGTAGACGATATATCTTAACCACTACCATATCTCCCGATAGAATGCAAATTACACATTAACCGATATTAAATTGAAGCCGTATTCCATTGTCGATTCACTTATTGTTTCAATTGCCTTAACTAGGTTCCTATGGTTAAGGAATTGTATAGGAGAAAAAAAAAACAACTTTTTAATAATGTCGATGGTGTTGTAGACTTCCACACAAATTGTTCACAGCTCTGTACAATTGTCCATTTAATCCAGGGGATTTAATTTCCATTTAATCCCTCTCGTTAAGGCCATTTGTTATTGTTACTTATTGATTTTTAACACCCCATTACCCGGTATTGTAGTGGACTCAACTGGGCGTTTACTAATTATAGTGGTTTACTCAGGGAGCATATTACATGACTGCTCCCTGGTTTTCTGGTATCAAGAGTGATCCTCCATCATGTTTAGCTCATCGCTAGCTCAATGAACTACTTGTGTTCATGTATATAGCAAGAAGATAGTTTGCCATAACAACAAAAATAAATTATTATTATTATTATTATTATTATTATTATTATTATTATTATTATTATTATTATTATTATTATTAATATTAATATTATTATTATTATTATTATTATTATTATTATTATTATTATTATTATTATTATTATTATTGTAGAATTCTTATTATGGGTGTGGACGTGTGACAGGCCATTGTGTTCTAATTTCATTTTTGTTTACTTTAAGGTGTGGCAAAGAAAATCTTATCCATCATGTCAAAACGACCTTGGGGTACAGTGAGCAAACCCAAAAACATGGGGTTAGGATATCAGAAAGCATCCGCCCACGAGGTTGAAAAAGTGGTTAACCGTCTGTACTATGTGCCCAAGCGACGAGAACTCGGCCTACAGAAGCGCTCAAATCCGAAGATGAATGCCGAACAAATTGACCGAATGCTTGAACGGCTGACGAAGAATTATGGCGACAGGGTTCCAGATTCAAGACGAGTACCTGAAGGAAGGCTCAGGGATATTGGAATTTTAAATTCATTTGCATGGAAGGGATATAATTGAACATAACATTAATTCCTGTAGAAACACATTTTTAAAGTTTCCAACTTTATTATTTATTGCCTTGCCCACCAGGATCCCCGTGTTTGAAGATATGTCTTGATAGGGATCGAAAAAAAAGTTTAATGTTATATTTACTGTAATAACGATTTGGGATCTGTGCATACGGTTCGTCACAACTCATATTTCTATGTTACAGTACGGTATGGGTTATTAATAACTACTGCATTGCATTAACACCATTCGAAACAAAAATATTAGTCTTATCCTGGGCGCAATATTGCCCTGGCATGTTGGTAAACCTATAAAAGTTATCTTGCAACATACAGTAATATATTAATTAAAACGAGTAAGCATGCCCTATTATTTTCATTAGAAATTACGTTAATGTAACACATATCATATCGTTATTTATTACTGAATTAGAATTTAAAAGCGTTCTCAGACAATGTAAAGGTCTCCTA